CAATATACTTTTGTTGCTCCCCCAGAGTGACAGCACAGCATGATGTGTTGATATGATGAAAAGGAGAGTATAATGAACTAAGTGTTCTTCATAATGAGGATAGCCTTGATTTATCAATAATAATAAAGGCCACAAAAGGAGGAATACAATTCATTGGTCATTAAGTACAATGTCCCTGCTTTTTTAAGGCATTGTGAATGTGGAAAACTCAATGATGTTAGCTTATAATGAAAAGTGATTCACAGTAACACATTTCTAATCGCTGTGTTCTACCAAGTATCCAATCCCGTTGTGGCATGAGTCATCTGTAGCCACCCATTTATTAAATTATCTTTTTTTTTCTTTTGAGAAAACAGACCAAATTATATTTATGGGTTGCACCACCTCAAACAGCATGTGTTCTGTCCCACAAACATAAAACGGGCATTAGGTAAGGGGTATTGTTGAGTTGTTTGCTTTGCGTCCATTCAAGATCCACTGCCACTTCCTGTAAATGCCCTTCAGAGTGGCCAAACCCAAATATAAGCAATTTTTCCAGACGCACGACAGGAGGCCTTATCCTGTTATTGTTTTGGAAGCAGATGTCTTAGATCCTGACTTTAAAGAAAGCCTAAGGCAGAAACTCAGGAAGCTCCTGTAATGAAGTAGGGCATTCTCTCAGAAGTGGGGCCCACCTGAAAGACCAGGCATGCAATATTGTCTAGCACATTTGCAAATTACAACTCTTGCAACTCCAAGCTTGAGTGAGATATGTATCGAGCTGGTGTGATGTATGACTTAACTTCACTTGTTTACACTCAATCTTACACACCTCTGAAACATGTGGCTATAATCTCAGAAATAACTAACACCTTCTCCTCTCTGGAGCTAATGGATCACCGTAGGGCTCTAAGTGATATTAGCATGCAGAAGATATCATGCACCCACTGAGCCAAGAGTGACAGCATCCCTCTGCACCCTACTGTGTGCTGGTCTTTCTTTTTTTTCTTCTTTTTTTTTGTACACGCACCTCATGTCACGCATTCACCCAGAGGAAAATGGTAGGCTTAGAACCTCATGTACTGAGTGATTACATAAGCAGCAGGAGCCAGAAGTATTAGAGTGTATTATCCTTTGTATTTTACTTCATCAGTGGCTTGGGCCTGAACCTTGTCTCTAATTAGATCTGTCAACTCAAAGCCCAATATCTGTGGGAATGGCACAGAGAACTGCTGAGCAACTGGGATCAACCCAGTGGAGGATGGGATAGAGTTGCTGCACAGGTTTCCATGGCTGCAGAAGTAAGGGAAAATATTTATTTCAGTAATACTGGATGTGATCACCAGCAAAGCAAGCAAAGAGATCAGTGTTTAAAACTAATTTGCCAGTTGTTACTACATGTTTAATATCCACAGCCATTAGTTAATTTAACCCTTAATATAGTTTTTACAGATGCTGTCCCAGTGCCATATCAGCTGTATGACTGGACAAACAGCAAACATCTGTCAACACACAATAACTTAAACAAAAAAAAAACTTGCGGTGTAGATATTAGCTGCCAGTCTTGTTGCCAGTCATGTCTTTTGTATTTTAAGATAAGATAAGGCTTTATTTATCCCTGAGGGGAAATTCTCATGTAACAGCATCACAGAGATTGACTGAGAGGTTAAAAAACAGATAAAGAACTATTTGAATGAAATAAATAAAAAATAAAAAGAAATTAAGAAATTAGAAAGATTAAAAAGCATTACAATACCATCATAAGTGAATTATGCAAATGTTTGTGCAAAAGGAGTCAAGTAGTGCAACTCCAGCTGCAATGATGTGTGAATTCTATATATAGCTAGAGTACATATGTATGAATAATCAGTACAGTACATAATAATACACACAATATGCACACACACACACACACACACACACTATACTATACAGTAATAATACAATACTATGAAGTACATACATGTATAATAGAAATTAAAGATACTCTGATATAGAGTATAATATAATATTAAAATATAAAAGCACAGAAATAGCAACATAGTATGAATATCTTTTTATAGTGACATATGTCCCTATATTGTCTTTTTCATGTTCACTGGAGTCTGTCTGAATTATTACACTACATGTTATAAAAAGTTCGGTCTAGACCTGCTCTNNTATACAAATAAAATTAAATTGAACTGAATTGAATGTGTGCAGATTCAATTAACCATCTTTTCCTTCATCACTCTGAACTGGGCCTGACATTATATGAATCCCTTTCAATACGTTTTTAAGATTTTCTCCGGCAGTGTCATTAATATCAGGAAATCCTGGAGCATAATTTTTTCCATCTGCAATCTGTCTTACTTTCACTCTATTTCCATGATAGTTTATGCTCACCACAAGGAAACATGGACATCTCTCAGCCATGTCATCTTAATTTGCTCTCTTCATGGCAAGAAGAAGCTCTCCTTTATGCTACTCTTATGTCTTATGCTGCTTCAGCATTCCAGTCTTCTTGGCTTCAACTGTCACAGCTTTCTATCCTTTAAATCCATCAGCAGAAATATCAAGCCAGACCTCACGCTGTTTACCTGTTCACCTGAATTCACAATGCCTCACATGCAGTTACATCCATCTGCAACACTATAAAACTTTTTTGCTGACTCCGTTATTAAATCTATAAACCACACCCTAATCTGACTCTATACCTGTGTCTAGTTTCAGAAGCTGGATCTTTAGAAGGATACGGTCCTGACAGAGGCTAAAGTTATCCTCAAAACTGGGCGTTCAGGCATTCCTCATCAACTCCTGAAATCAGACATTTAAACAGATTAGGATGACTTTTACAGTACAAATGATGCCGTTCAACTTAAACACATGATGGATAATTGATAAATTGTCCACCACATTAATCATAAATACCCATATATTTTTCTGTAAGGACCCTGATTTACAACAAACCCAGGCTGTCAACAATAGCTAATGTCTGGCGTCCATTACTCACATCTTGGAGTGGCTTTTTTACAGTGCAGTTTGTTATAGTGTGTATTTACCGGTGACTGACCACCTGAGCTTGAATACCTGGCAAATATGACGTGGTCAGCTGATATTTCTGGACTTCATGAGTTGATGAACAACACCTGAATGCTCCATTAAACAATTTAGCAGCACACTGTGGATTGTGGGATACCTGCGGTAGGGCTGAGTAGCAAACATAGGTTGTGTGCTCCAAATTCAGACTTCAGGCTGTGCTTGGAGGAATCTTTCAAATGGGACAGACCTTGCCAACTTGTTATGACACAGTCTAGAAAAGCAGGCAGCCCCTGAAATGGAACACACAGATTGTTTTTTATTTTCCCCAACCCTATAACCTAAGTCTGCTTGCTCCTGGCAATGCTAACCGTACCAAACTTTCCAATTTTCAGCGCTGACTTTGTTACATTGGGGCAATTACACTTGTTATTTTGTTGTTGTTTTCAGACTTTATCCAGTTTCATTACTCACATGCTGGCTCATTTCAAGTGGCTCACCAAATTTATGTAGTGAGGTTATTAAATATTTTCATTCCAAACTCACAAGTCACATCATTAGATTTAATGTACCATCATTCTTCTTTTTCTTTGTCGTTTCAATTTCCAGTCCGTGCTAAATCATCTTCAGTCTTTAAGTTACTGCTTTGAAATTCCTGTAGATGTGCCATTTTCCAAAACCCATAACCACAAAAAGAGGGAACATCTCTCTGGCATAGATAGAACCAGAGGCTCGGAAATTTAAAGAGCTACACAGTGGCATACAAATCCCGCTTTTCAGTACTTCTATCTCTGTTAGCTTTGGTGTAAGTGTGTTTCATAAATCATGTAATCCATCATTTTCCTACATTTTAAAAAAACGTGTTAGTGTTAACTTACTAGTGGTCAACTACAGTGTTTGGCTTCACAACATTTGTGGTTTATATTATTTCTGTACTACGAGGTACTAAAACAGAATTTAGGTGGAGATTAATACAAATGTGCCTGTTACAAGCTTGCTCATCCATCCAGTTTTATTAATTCAAGACATTTCTACATTGTGCTTTTTCATAGATCTTGATTTTTATGATAAAATTCTTGAGTGATGTACTGTTATCAATTAAGTAATAATTGTGTTTGTGTTAGAGGGGAACAGGTAATCATTGTCACTTGTTGTCTTTTATAATAAATTAAAAACCATTAAAACAAAACCAACTCTAAAATAAATTATGTTATTCCTGTCATCTTGCTTGGATCATCACTACATCAATGCTGGTCAAGGCAGATGACCACCCACCTAGAGCCAAAGGGTCTGTCCTAGGTTTCTGCCTGTTAAAAGGCAGTTTTTC